TAATATCAACACTTGTAGGACAATAATAACACTTGTAGGACAATATCAACACTTGTAGGACAATATCAACGTGTTATAGGACAATACCAACATTTGTAGGACAATATCAACACTTGTAGGACAATACCAACATTTGTAGGACAATATCAACACTAGTAGGAAAATCTCAACACTTGTAGGACAATATCAATACTTGCAGGACAATAGCAACGTGTTATAGGATAATATCAACACTTGTAGGACAATAATAACACTTGTAGGACAATATCAACATTTGTAGGACAATATCAACACTTTTAGGACAATATCAATACTTGCAGGACAATATCATTACATGTAGGACCATATCAACGTGTTATAGGACAATACCAACATTTGTAGGACAATATCAACACTTGTAGGAAAATCTCAACACTTGTAGGACAATATCAATACTTGCAGGGCAATATCAACGTGTTATAGGACAATACCAACATTTGTAGGACAATATCAACACTTGTAGGACAATATCAATACTTGTAGGACAATATCAACACTAGTAGGAAAATCTCAACACTTGCAGGACAATATCAATACTTGCAGGACAATATCAATACTTGCAGGAAAATATCAATACTTGTAGGACAATATCAACACTAGTAGGAAAATCTCAACACTTGTAGGACAATATCAACACTCGTAGGACAATATCAACACTTGTAGGACAATATCAACACTTGTAGGACAATGTCAATACTTGTAGTACAATATCATCATTTGTAGGACAATATCAACACTTGTAGGACAATATCAACACTTGTAGGACAATATCAACTTGTTATAGGACAATACCAACATTTTTAGGACAATATCAACACTTGTAGGACAATATCAACGTGTTATAGGACAATACCAACATTTGTAGGACAATACCAACACTTCTAGGACAATACCAACACTTGTAGGACAATATCAACGTGTTATAGGACAATATCAATACCTGTAGGCAATATCAACGTGTTATAGGACAATACCAACATTTGTAGGACAATGTCAACACTTGTAGGACATATAAACACTTGTAGGACAATATCAACACTTCTAGGACAATATCAATACATGTAGGACAATATAAACATTGGTAGGACAATATCAACACTTGTAGGACAATATCAACACATGTAGGACAATACCAACATTTGTAGGACAATACCAACACTTCTAGGACAATACCAACACTTGTAGGACAATATCAACACTTCTAGGACAATATCAACACTTATAGGACAATATCAACACTTGTAGGACAATATCAATACTTGCAGGACAATATATTGTAGCTTACTAAATCATAGAACCAAATATCTTATTGGGACTAATACAGCAATTTCCTACCTGGATTTATACATATTCATTCTTGCATTATCATTTTAAATTATGACACTTACTTGTAAAATATTCCATCAATCCGGCTACTCGTGGATCCTTTCTAGAGTCAATTTTCCAGGTGGAGTTCAGGTAAACGTATTTCCGTGTTGATTCGTACTTGTGCCTCGGAGTAGGAATGATATCTCCGGGTGTCAACTTTGGGTAGGTACTGTTAAACAAACTGACGTAACGTCTTGACAATGATACTGGGAGGACAAGATCTCGTGGTGGATTTCTCGTGTATTGGAATACGTTTTGGAATGGTCCAACAAACGCTCGATTAGTGTAATTTTTGGTATTGTGTATAACAGTCGCCGATTGTGTTTCGTTAGCCAGGTAGAAATTTGGATAGATATCGTATTTACCTGCGATTGAGGCTGAAGTCATAAACGTTATATATCTGTTTCCTCCCGGATCGATAGTGCCAAATGAGTTTGGATCTGGAGTAAATTTGTACATGCATCCTTGGATATGTGATAATGAGAAGCCACCTCGTATGGTTGGGAAGGCATACTCACCTGTGTCGCTGTTAAATCTTTTGAATTCTATGAGGTTTTCGTGACAAACATAAAGGCTCCATCCACCACGGTGGTCGATTGGTGATGTACCAGTATTAGTGAGAATTATTGAAGCGTAATACGATCCACCAGGGTTATGGTTGATAAGATAGTACAGAATCCTGATGGTTTTTGCCAGGGTCTCCACATTTCCTGACGCAGTGCCTGGAAATCAGACAAAAAATGCACACTACATACACGTACTGCATTGACATGAAGAAATCATTGCCATTCATAACGAAATAAAGTATAATATTACATGCGTCAACATACGGGGACAAAATCAAAACACAAAAAAACATTCCAAAAGACATGAGAGAAACATAACCTGGGTCGACCAAATATGTTCCAGACAACGTACATAATACCTTAAACGGTCTGACGTGTTCCAGACAACGTACATAACATCTTAGACGGTCTGACGTGTTTCAGACAACGTACATAACACCTTAGACGGTCTGACGTGTTCCAGACAACGTAGATAACACCTTAGACGGTCTTACGTGTTCCACACAATGTACATAACACCTTAGACGGTCTGACGTGTTCCAGGCAACGTACATAATACCTCAGACGGTCTGACGTGTTCAAGATAACGTATATGACATGGGACGGTCTCAGGTGTTACGGTAACCCTTACAACTTTGGACAGTATTATGCATTCAAGAAACCTTACAAAAACTGGGATGATCTAAAGATTTCCAGAAACCTTCAATACCTTCCACGGTCTTACTGCTTCCAGAATCCCTCAATACCTTCCACGGTCTTACTGGTTCCAGAAACCCTTAATACCTTCCACGGTTTTACTGGTTCCGGAAACCCTCAATACCTTCCACGGTCTTACTGGTTCCAGAAACCCTCAATACCTTCCACGGTCTTACTGGTTCCAGAAACCCTCAACACCTTCCACGGTATTACTTGTTCCGGAAACCCTCAATACCTTCCACGGTCTTACTGGTTCCAGAAACCCTCAATACCTTCCACGGTCTTACTGGTTCCAGAAACCCTCAATACCTTCCACGGTCTTACTGGTTCCAGAAACCCTCAACACCTTCCACGGTCTTACTGGTTCCAGAAACCCTCAACACCTTCCACGGTATTACTGGTTCCAGAAACCCTCAACACCTTCCACGGTCTTACTGGTTCCAGAAACCCTCAACACCTTCCACGGTATTACTGGTTCCAGAAACCCTCAACACCTTCCACGGTCTTACTGGTTCAAGAAACCCTCAACACCTTCCACGGTATTACTGGTTCCAGAAACCCTCAACACCTTCCACGGTCTTACTGGTTCAAGAAACCCTCAACACCTTCCACGGTATTACTGGTTCCAGAAACCCTCAACACCTTCCACGGTATTACTGGTTCCAAAACCCCTCAATACCTTCCACGGTCTTACTGGTTCCAGAAACCCTCAACACCTTCCACGGTCTTACTGGTTCCAGAAACCCACAATACCTTCCACGGTCTTACTGGTTCCAGAAACCCTCAACACCTCCGACGGTCTTACTGGTTCCAGAAACTCTCAACACCTTCCACGGTATTACTGGTTCCAGAAACCCTCAACACCTTCCATGGTCTTACTGGTTCCAGAAACCCTCAATACCTTCCACGGTATTACTGGTTCCAGAAACTCTCAACACCTTCCACGGTCTTACTGGTTCCAGAAACACTCAACACCTTCCACGGTCTTACTGGTTCCAGAAACACTCAACACCTTCCACGGTATTACTGGTTCCAGAAACCCTCAACACCTTCCACGGTCTTACTGGTTCAAGAAACCCTCAATACCTTCCACGGTATTACTGGTTCCAGAAACCCTCAACACCTTCCACGGTCTGACTGGTTCCAGAAACCCTCAACACCTTCCACGGTATTACTGGTTCCAGAAACCTTCAACACTTTCCACGGTATTACTGGTTCCAGAAACCCTCAACACCTTCCACGGTATTACTATTTCCAGAAACCCTCAACACCTTCCACGGTCTTACTGGTTCCAGAAACACTCAACACCTTCCACGGTATTACTGGTTCCAGAAACCCTTCATAACTTGGTCGATCCTATGTGTTCCGGAAACCCTTTATAACCGTGGACGGTTTTACGTGTTCTAGATAACATATATAACCTGGGACGGTCTTATGTGTTCCGGTAACCCTTAAAACTTTGGACGGTTTTACATGTTCCAGAAACCCTAAGTAACCTGGGATGGTATCACTTGTTTCTAGAACAATACGTAAGCCGGAACGATGTTATGTGTTCCGAAAACCCTTCATAACCATCGACGGTTGTACGTGTTCCAGAAACCCTACATATCCTGTGATGATATCGTGTGCTTCTAAATCCATAAATAACCTGGAACGATCTTAGGTGTTCCAATAACCCTATATTACATTTCATGTTCCAACTGAGTTCCAGAAATAGTAAGGGTCACATGAGGTGCAGGAAACAGAGAAAATAGTCACACATAGTGTAGGAGTCGGGCACGGTTCGTATGGTGATAGAACAGGACGACCAGGGGTACAGGAAACAAAAAGACAAAATAATGCATATATGTTCTTTACAGGAGACACTATGACAATAATTATTTGTCGTATAGTAAACAGAATCATATATTTGAATAAATGAGAATTTCATTTGTTGAATTTTGAAAGAAAGAAATAGCTTTGTTGGGAAACCAACAAACTATGTATTAATTAATAAGTGAAATTACGTTAAGAAAAGGTGATAATATGCCCAGCCTACGCCTTTGTGGGCGTCTTCAGAAAGTTTGGTGATATTAGTCTTATGCTCAGCCTACGCTTTATTGAGTATCTTAAGAAAGTTTGGTGATATAAGTCTGATGCTCAGCCTGCGCCTTGGTGAGTATCTTCTGAAATTTGGTGATATTAGTCCTAAGCTATACCTACGCATTGGTGAGTTTCTCCAGAAATTTTGGTGATATAAGTCTGATGCCCAGCCTACGCCTTGGTGAGTATCTTCAGAAAGTTTGGTTACATTAGACTTATGCTCAGCCTACGTATTGGTGAGCATCTTTAGAAAGTTTGGTGAAGAAAGTCTTATGCTCAGCCTACGCCTTGGTGAGAATCTTCAGACAGTTTGGTCATACTAGTCGTAAGCTCAGCCTACGCCTTGGTGAGCATCTTCAGAAAGCTTGGTGATATTAGTCTTATGCTCTGCCTACGCCTTGGTTAGAATATTTAGAAAGTTTGATGATATTAATCTGGTGCCCAACCTACGCCTTGGTGAGCATTTTCAGACAAAAGGTTTGGTGATATTAGTCTTAAGCTCATCCTACGCATTGGTAAGTATATTCAGAAAGTTTGGTGATATAAGTCTTAAGCTCAGCCTACGCCTTGGGGAGCATCTTCAAAAAGTTTGATGATATTAGTCTTAAGTTTAGCCTACGCCTTGGTGAGCATCTTCAGAAAGTTGGGTGATATCAGTCTGATGCTCTGTCTACGCCCTGGTGAGTTTGTTTAGAAAATTTGGTGATATTAGTCTTATGCACAGCCTACGCCTTGGTGAGCATCTTCAGAAAATTTGATGATATTAGTCTTAAGTTTAGCCTACGCCTTGGTGAGCATCTTCAAAAAGTTTGGTGATATTAGTCTTAAGCTCTGTTTACGCCTTGGTAGGTATATTAGAAAGTTTGATGATATAAGTCTTATGCTCAGCCTACGCCTTGGTGAGCATCTTCAGAATGTTTGGTGATATTAGTCTTAAGCTCTGCCTACGCCTTGGTGAGCATCTTCAGAAAGTTTGGTGATATTAGTCTTAAGCTCTGTCTACGCCTTGGTAGGTATAGTTAGAAAGTTTGGTGATATTAGTCTTAAGCTCAGCCTACGCCTTGGTGAGTATCTTCAGAACGTTTGGTGATATAAGTCTTAAGCTCAGCCTACGCCTTGGGGAGCATCTTCAGAAAGTTTGGTGATATCAGTCTGATGTTCATTCTACGCCTTGGTGAGTATATTTAGAAAGTTTGGTGATATTAGTCTTATGCACAGCCTACGCCTTGGTGAGTTTATTTAGAAAGTTTGGTGGTATAAGTCTGATGTTCATTCTACGCCTTGGTGAGTTTATTTAGAAAGTTTGGTGGTATAAGTCTGATGCTGTTCCTACGCCTTGGTATCTTCAGAAAGTTCTATATCAACAAATTCACAACTTTGACCTCTGACCTTTATCCATAGCGTTTTGAACCCTTCACAAAAAGTAAAGCAAGGTTGTGACGTTCCTTTGATATTACAATCGTTTACCAGCTTCATGTACGCTGACATTTGAACTTAAGTTTTTATGTTTTCCTGATGTCTCGACACACAATTACAACATGTTTGGTTATTTCCCTGTTTTACCTGGACACATTTAAAATTAAAAAAACCACCAAAACGATTAATGTCCAAGCCATTTCCGTGCTAGAACATGAAGCCAGCAGTCGCCTGTACTTTCTTTTTTCTTTTCTTTTTCAAAGTCAATGTGGATTCCCCAGAAAATAAGTATATCATTTTATCAGTAAATCGAGATAGTCTATAAGTTTTCTGACAAACTGCCGACTTAAAAAAAAAAAAAAAAAGGATAGAAAATAGCATACAGTTTTCCCAGGCAGTGTATAAACATTTAACCTATCATATTTGCAACATCAAGATAAATGATACATAAAATCAGAAGTACATGAAGTTGTTATGTGAGACCATATATAGTTAAATACATTTATCTGTTAAGAAAGCAAAACGTTTGTGCACATCAATTTTGTTAAGTTGATTTAGATTAAAAATAGACATTCCTATTATGTGTCAGCTACGTTTATATTACGGAAAGGATATTCCACAAGAAAGATAAGATAAACATAAAACAAGTTATACATCTACTAGTGCTACAGGTATAAGTTACTACAATAGGTACATATATAATGACTTACCGACGACACTGACCAGAAACAGCAGGCAGACGCAGGAACTGATTGGTATTTCCATAATAGAGGGAGAAGGGTTTGTAGAACTAAACAGGCCCCGCTCTGCTTATACTCCAGACACGATCATTAACCGGTGTGTCGTCACGTGATCACTACAGGACAGGTAAATACACCTGATGTTAGGTTTACCGCATTTGACACGAGACACCATGCAATTAAATATCGGTAGACGCTTTTTTTCATTTCAGAATATATTTTATTGTTCAGATAATAGATACAAAAGGAATGGGGTAACAGACAGAGACTATGACTGCCCTTTCCTTTCAAACATAAAACACAACGAATCCATATTATATTGAAGGACAGAGCTGTCTAGAGTAAGAAAGGGGATCAATACAAGATGTTGTATCACCATACTAGCCGGAACTACTTTTTATGGGAATCCTCTTGTCATGACGAACTGAAAAGTTTCCGGTATTTGCAAAAAATATCAAAGTTTATAAAATCTTTGTATCGATCTCTACCAAGTACGGAAGGAAAGTGATAAAAGCTAGACACATTTGTGTTTTTCTAACGAATCAGAAAGCACTCATTTATTGCGTGGACGTTTACATATTCACGTCAGCCTCGTGTTTGGCAATTTAAGAATCTTCCCCCTCGGATTGAGATTTCCCTATCTCACCCCCCCCCCCCCCCCCACCCCACCCCCCAAAGGGGGTGAGCGATTCTATTAATATTACACTCTATTTCACGTGGGGTGACGTCACAATGGCTGAACAATGACGTGACATCACGCATTCCATTGCCGCAATGCGGAAAGGGCGACGTGATGAAATTAAAACCTTTTACGAAATATTTACCGTACATATTAGAAAGATGAGATTAGTTTGTCCGCGCAAACTTTGTTTACAAAATATGGGGTATGTTGAATCTGGCTGTATTATTCGTTTTAATTTAAAAGACAAAGGGGGGGG